TCTCTTCTGAACTTCAATGACTTGCTCGTGAGTCTGCCTCATGCCAACTATCACTTTTCACTCACAGACACACTGCACAAGTCAAAAACACACGGACTGTTTCTGACTCAGCGTGTCGTAACCCTGCCTCATTAATATCTGTCAGTCTAATAACCATCCTTAGCTGTCTGGTCCTAATTCACCCTGTCAAACATTACAGGTCGCAATCAGAGATGTCATGCCTGAAGCCACTGTCACGGCCTTTGAATGTAAGTACCTGCTTTAGAGTTGGACTGCTGTAATGCTGCAAGAGGAAATGGGAAGCTTTGAATGACTGTGTTTACACACCAAAACAATAGCCCTGTAATGTAGGGACTTGTAATCAGTTATCAGATTGGTCTGAAGGAGAGGAGATCTCATGCAGCTGTGTGGGACACTTGTTTATCCCGTCATAAACTGTAAGAACCGATCCCTGCTGTCATGGGCTAGACTCTAGCCCTCTTGAACTGGCTTCATCTATCTGCGAGAGTAAAAAGCTTCACACATTTCATTTTCATTGTGTTAGCTTCTCTCTTCTCTGTTCCCTTTTTTTACTACTCGTGTTAACCTCTAGCATGCGTTTTATCCAGACATGCTATAGCTACTGTACTAACTGATTGATTGACAGGAACAGTTGAAGTTTCTCTCATTCAATCAAATTAAGATTTAGGCTCTTGGAATAGGCACCATTCAAGCCTGTTTACGGGTAGAATGCAAAGAGTTTGATTGACATACAAACATATAAATACTGCTTACTGAGTGCTTTTATACGTTATATTTTATTGTATGATTTTGATTGTATGTTTTGGCTTCCCAAATTTTGCTATTGCATTAATACTTAATATGGAATGATATGCTTTTTTGTTTGCATGCCTTGATTTTATTAAATGTTTATTATATACGTAAAAGTGTTGTTTTACAGTATCTTCTGTTTATATTTATTATACCACACTTGTTACTGCAAAAAAATCTGTTTTGAATTTTCTCTGTGGTTCCCCCCCCCTCCCCATTATTAGTATTTTATTTTTTACAGTTGTACTGTTTTTGTTTTTGTTTTTTGTTTTTTTTTGTTTTTTTTTTTAGACGAAGATGAGGTGGGAGACAGAATCACAGTAAGAAGTGATGAAGAACTCAAAGCCATGTTGTCATATGTGAGTACATAAATGTTGCATGCAGTACTTTGACCAAGTCAGGCATAATATCCACAAATTAGAATACTGTGCGAAAGTCTTGAGCGACCCTTGCTTCCTCTTTATATTTTGTTTCCAACAAGCTGGACTTTGTAAGTCTTTAAAGTGCTCTTGAGCATAATTCTCTAGGCTACCTGAAGGTCAGGATATTGGCTGATTTTTTTTTTTTTTTGATTTTTTTTTTTTACTAATTTTCAGTTCAGTCCTCCTACCTGACCATTTTCAGAGGACTGATGTTTGTTGTTTTGAGCTGTTAGTCAAAAATCACATATCTCAGCAAGGTGTGTCAAGAAATCTGAAGAAACTAAACAAGTGGAGAACAAAAGAAGATGTGGTAGGCCTAAAAGTATTATTTACAGTAGATG